CAACTACTCCATTTTGTTGAGGAGTCCTAGGGGCAGAAAAATTAAGATCTATACCATGCTCATCACAAAATTCAGCAAACTTAGCATTTTCAAATTCAGTTCCATGATCAGACCTGATTGATGCAAGTTGATTACCTAGTTGTTTCTGAGTTTTTCTAACAAAGGCAGTAAACATGTCAAATGCTTCATCCTTGGATGTTAAAAACAGTACCTAGGTAAACCTAGAGTAATCATCAACAAGTACCATCACATATTTCTTACCACCTCTGCTCAATGTTCTCATTGGACCACAGAGATCCATATGAACCAGTTCCATCGTCCTGGTTGTTCTTACCATTTTCTTGATTTTAAAAGATGATCTTACCTGCTTCCCCCTTGAACAAGCTTCACAAACTTTGTCTTCCTTGAACTTGATGTTAGGTAACCCTATCACCGGGTCCTTGGAGACTAATTTGTTGAGTTGATTCAGACTTGCATGACCAAGTCTTTTATGCCACAGGAGGGGATCATTGTCCAACACACTCAAGCAGGTGAGTTTATTTTCTGAAAGAGTGGACAAATCTACAATGTAAATATTGTTAACTCTTTTTCCCTGCAAAACAATCTTGTCAGTGGTAAGATTAATCACAAAGCATTTGGTAGAGGTAAATGTTATAAGGTTACCTCTGTCACACAGTTGTGATACACTGATTAGGCTATATTTCAAGCCATCTATCAAGTAGACATTCTCAATGGAACGTGAGTCTGTCTTACCTACCTTTCCAACCCGAATAATCTCACCTTTCTTCCCATTAGAGACATTACCTCCTTTTAAGTCCTCAAGTGAAAGGAACTGGTTCTTGCTTCCAGTCATATGTTTTGAGCAGCCACTATCCATGTACCATATTTGGCTACTTCCCTTCACTTGGACCTGCAAAAAGAAATCAGGGGTTAGTCTTAGGAACCCAAACTAGTTTGGGTCCCTTTCTATAGGCAAAGGGGTAAATTAAATTCCTTTTGGCCCAACCAGGCAGCCTATTTTTCTCTTGAACAAAAGTTTTGTTCTTTTGACTGGCCTTTTCCTTTGCATTATATTCACTTTGTAATGGCCAGTCTTGCCACAGTGTGTGCAGATTTTGTTTACAGGAAGAGTGATGTACTTGCTTTTGGGATCCCACTTAGGTGCTTGGGTCCCATAGCCAAGTCCTCTCTTGTTGCTACTGTGGTGTTCTTGTAGCCAGGATAGTGCATCAGAGGCCTTATTCCATTTGCAAGTTCTGTCTAGTTCATACTTTACCTTCCCTAAGTCTTCTTTTAAGATTCTCATTTGTTCATCTTTCTTGTACAACTCATCCTTCATTTTTCTTAGATTTTCTTCCAAGGTGATATGTGTGTGATCAGCTTCCTTCTTACCTGTTCCTAATTTCAGTTTTAAATTTTCAGACCTAAGTTCTAAGACACTGGTGTCAAGTTCAAGAACCTGGTTCTTCAACTCAGCATTTTTACTATCACTCTTATTTGCCCTAGATTCTAGATTTTTGCATCTAGCTTTTAAGATCACACACTCCCTAGACAGCTGTTCCTTCTCATTGTTAATTACCTCAGACTCATCGATGAAGTCTAGCAATAATTCAGATAACCTTTCTTTAGACAAAAATTTAATCTTGTCTTTGAGATGAATCACACTTACCTCTTGTTCATCATCTGATTCTCCGATGTCCATAGGTGCTTGTTCATCTCCAGCTTCATCTTCTGAATCCTCATCTGATGTTTCTCCCCAAGCAGCAACCATAGCCTTTGTTGATCCTTTGTTCCTTTTGGGTTGAACCTGTTCCTTCTTCCTGTTCCTTCGTTCAGCCCTTTCCTTCTTCCATTCAATTTCCCACTGAGGACAGTTCTTGATCATGTGATCAGTCTTGCCACATTTGTAGCAGCTCTCGTTGGTATGTTTCTCAGGAGCCCTTGGTTTGTTGAAGGTTGTACCTCTTGAAGAACCCTTTTCGCTCATCAGGTACTTTTTGAAATCCCTTGTGATCATGGCCATTTCATCATCCTCTAGATCTGCACCTTCAGCTATTCTGAGAGCCAGACTCATTTCCTTCTTGGGTGTATCCACTTTCATGGTTTGCCTTCTCAGTTCATAGGCAGTGAGATTTCCGATCAGTTCATCCAACTTGAGAGTAGCAATGTTCTTTGATTCCTGAATAGCAGTGATTTTGCTTTCCCAAGTTACTGGTAAGACCCTTGTTAAGATTTTCTCAACCTTGTCTTCTTCAAGGATAATTCTCCCAAGAGATTTAAGTTCATTTGTTAGTGTTGTGAACCTTGTGTATATCTCCTGGATAGTTTCTCCTTCCTTCATAGTGAAATTCTCATATTGAGAATATAGCAGTGTTCCTCTTGATCTCTTTACTTGAGGAGTTCTTTCATGAGCCACTTGTAAAGTGTCCCATATCTCCTTAGCAGTGGTACAGCTTTGAATCCTGCTGTATTCGTCTGGACCTAGTCCACACACAAGCCATTTCTTGGCCTTGGCATTCTTTTCCCATTTCTTCAAATTTTCAGCAGTGCAGTCAGCTCTTGTCTTTGGCACGTCCACTCCTTCAGCATTCTTCTTTGTAGTAGCTAGGGGACCATCAGTGACTATGTCCCAGAGTTTATAGTCTTCACCTATGATGTGATCTCTCATCCTGTTCTTCCACCAAGAATAGTACTGACCATTAAAGAGTGGGGGCCTAGCAGTGGATTGCCCTTCCCAGTTTCCAAGTGGTGCACTCATCTTGATCTTTTCCTAAGGTGTTAACCTCTTTAAGGATACCGCTCTGATACCAATTAATGTTTTATACTTCAATACCACACAAGAGGGGGGGTGATTTGTGTGGTACCCAATTTTCGCTTAACTTGATTATAAAAAGACCTGGTTCTTCTATGTGTTCCAACTACTACTGTTTGCGGAATAATAAGTAAAGAAAATAAAGAACACAGAGATTTTTACGTGGAAAATACTTGGCTCAAAAGGTGAAAAAACCACGACCTACTACTCAGTAGGATTTTCCCAAACTTCCACTAAAATCACTGAGCCAAAAACTGCATTTATAAAAACTCTTTTGTAAACCTAGGATTAACTCTAATCCCGTTGTGGCACACAGCCTCAACTGTTGCGACAACTTCAAGTTAACTCTAACTTGAACACTCTAAGTACCTAATACAATTGCTTCTGTAAAAGCTGAAAGGTACAGTGTAAAACCAACTACTACAATTGAACTAGAATAAAAGATAGACACTTGGAACTGGTTCTTCTATCCTGTTCAAGTAGCTTCAGGATTGCACGCTTGAATACACATAAATTGCTTGCAAAATTGCCTTGCTATTTTGCTCTCAATTCATGCTTAACTTCTGCTTATGTGCATTCCTGTAAAAGAGAACAACACTGATATTTAATAGGTTAGTAATTAGAGATTGACTGGGATACAGACGCTACTCTTCTATGGTTGAAGAGTTCTAGTTGATCTCATACCCTAACACTATCCTCTTTCCAAATTGAGTTCTCTTCGTGTAAGGAGTCTTTCTCTCCTTATCCAATATGCAGGCCTTTCGATCAGATCAGGAGATATTACTTCTGATAAGTTAGATTTATCTCCTTCACGTGCGTCTCACATGTTTGGGTTGATCATGACTGTGCTTCACAAGATGGATCTGGTCCATGTCTGAGTTCTTTTGTCAGTCTTCGAAACTACACCTTTACTTGGGCCAACATTGTCAATGGCAAAGGGCAAAGGAAATGGACCAGTACGTCCAAGGAAGACACCGATACAAGTTATTGGAAGCTCACTAACAGCAACTACATCTCCATCAGCTCAGCTCGTTTCTCAGAAAACACAGGCGGTGACACCAATGGTAGATCCAGGGGCGGTTCAACAAAATGGAAGGATTGACAATGGTAATCTCACTCAATCTACTAATTCTCAGACACAGTTAGTAGAATTGGACAGTAGATTGCTCAAGGTGACAGTGGCAAAACCAAAGTTCTGAGTGAATGTATGGCTTCAACCTCGAGTGTATCGACTATGGTACAATCACATTTAAATGCACATGCAGATGAAAATCTGCAGAAATTAAAGGCTAACAAAGATCCAATTGCTCTGGAGTGGGTCAATATGTTCGCTAAAAATCGGATAGCATCTAACGGCCTTGCTCTATCTTACATAGCTCCGACGATTGTGGATGGTAGTGTGGTTATTCAACTAGATCCCGTGGAGACTGCGAAAGAAGTTGAGAAGTGGAAGCATTCCCTGATTGTTGCAGTAATAGGAGAAATCCTAGGGTATAATCAGATAAAGAGATACTTAACCACAATTTGTCAAAAGCCTCATGCTCTGAATTGTTTTAGCATGACAAGGGCTATTTCATTGCCAAATTCAAAGAGGAAGATGACCTCAAAGAAGTTCTGTATGGAGGGCCCTACACAATCAATAATAGACCTATCATCCTGAAGAGATGGTCTCCTGACATAGAATTTGATACAGCCTTTCTTAAAGAGATACCGTTATGGGTCTCTTTCCCTAGTTTATTGGGGAAAAGACTCGCTAAGCAGACTAGGAAGTGCTATTGGAGTGCCACTATTTGCTGATGAATGTACAGCTAATCAATCGAGAATTTCATTCGCTAGGATGCTGATTGAAGTGAATATCACTAAGCCATTACCAACTGAAGTCACAATACAGGATCCTTCTGGAAAGATGTATAATCAAGTGGTGAGGTTTGAATGGCAACCTGAATTCTGCTCAGATTGTCAACATCTGGGACATATATGCAAACGCAATGAGGAAGTTCAAGGGAAGCCTCAGAAGATTCAGAAAGTGTATGGCAAATTTCACCAGCCAGCAAAGGAGTGGAGAAGCAAAGGAAGTATGTCACAGAATACAAGTAAGCCCCAATAGTTAATTGAACCAAATGATGCTTCTAAGCCTAATAGTACTGAAACACTACCTCCTAAAGTGCAAAATGTAGTCCCTATTATAATGGCTGGAAAATCCGTGGAAAATACACAGGGCATCACACAGGCTAAAAGACAAGATAATAGTATACTGAGAGAAAAGACTAGTGTTTCAACTCCCAGAAAATTTGTAGTTGGTATGGATTTTTCAATTGTCACACAGAACACATTAGGGGTTCTATCAGGAGGTCAAGGGGATAAGCAACCACCAGATAGAGGTGGTACAACAGATCCCTCCAAATGACAGTTCTCATGTGGAATGTAAGGGGGGCAAACCAAAGATACAAACAGAAGGAGTTGGCTAAATACTTCAAAGATAATCATATATCTTTAGCTAGTTTAGTGGAGACTCGAATCAAATAACATAAGGCTTCTGTTATTGTCCCCAAGATTGCAAAAAATTGGGACTTAGTACATAACTATGATCACACGGTTAATGGAAGAATATGGCTATTAGTGGACAGAAATATATGGCAAGTGGATGGGATAAAAACAGATGCTCAATTTATACATTGTACCATTAGTAGCTCTGCTGTCAAGTGTGCTATGACTGTGGTATATGGGTATAATAGTTTAGAGAAGAGAAAGGAGATGTTGCAAAAGCTTAAAAACCTTGCACAAACCATTAACCACACATGGTTACTATGGGGGGATTTTAATGCTATTATCTCTACTCAAGATAGAGTATCAAAGACTGCACCAACACAAGTAGATGTTCAAGACTTTGCAAATTTTTATTCAGACACAATGATGTCTGAAATCCCTTGGAGAGGGGAATTCTTTACCTGGACAAATGGGCAAATGGGTGAAGATAGGGTAATTAGCAGGATAGACAGAGCATTGGGGAATGATGATTGGATGATGAACTTTGAACACCTAACAATTGAAATAGGGGATCCATTTATCTCAGATCACTCACCACTCACACTAAAATTTCAGAGAAGAAACAATAACATAAGAGTGCCGTTCAGATTTCTAAATGTTTGGGCTGAGCATGAAGACTTTCAGAGTATTGTTAATGAAGGATGGCAAGGAGAGCACCAGTCTTGCAAGCTAGCAACTATCTGGTACATGCTGAAAGCTATGAAGCCTGTATTTAAGAACTTAAACAACAGAAACTTCAAGAATATAGCAGAGAAGATGGATCAAGCAATAAGGGATCTGATTGAATGCCAACAAGCAATGAATAGAGGCTACTCAGATCAGCTAAGTATGATGGAGAAGGAGGCCAGATTTCGATTAGAAAAATGGTCAAGCATTGAAGAGAAGATACTACAACAGAAATCAAGAGCTCACTAGATTAATGTTGGTGATAGAAACAACAAATACTTCTTTGCAATGATGAAAGACAGAGCAAGCAGGAAAAGCATTACTACTCTAACAGCACTAAATGGTGGGATTCTGACAGACTCTAAGAGTATCAAGAGGGAGCTTGTTGATTTCTATAAGTCCCTTATGGGAACTACAGCTACAACTCTACCTGCAGTTAACATGCAAATTCTGAAAAATGGACCTCAACTGAAGCATCAACAAGCAGTGGAACTGGTCAAAGATATATCCAAGCAGGAAGTAGATGAATGTATGCATGTTATTGGTAATGACAAAGCTCCAAGCATTGATGGATATAATATTGTCTTCTTCAAGAAAGCATGGGGGTTATTAAAGATGATGTATATGAAGCAGTAGTGGAGTTCTTTGCTACAAGTATGATGCCTAAGGCCATTAACTGTACTACAGTTACTCTATTGCCTAAGATCACCAATCCTACTAATATCAAGGACTACAGACCTATATTCTGTTGTTCTGTGTTGTATAAGATCATCTCCAAAATCTTAGCATCAAGATTGCAGAAAGTAATGGGGTACTTGATTGATGGAGCTCAGGCTGGTTTCATCCCAGGAAGAAAAAGAGCTGATAATACATTTTAGCACATGAATTGATCAAGGCTTACTCAAGGAAACATATATCACCAAGATGTATGATCAAGGTAGATTTGCAAAAAGCTTATGACTGTGTAGAATGGAGTTATGTGCTACAAGTCATGGAGGGTCTGGGCTTTCCTCATAAGTTCAATCAGTGGGTGTCATCCTGTATTCATAGTGTGAGTTATTCTATCTTGATAAATGGTGAGCTAGCTGAGCCTTTTCCTGCTGCTAAAGGTCTCAGACAGGGTGACCCAATGTCCCCATTCCTGTTTGCTCAGCAATGGAATATCTAAGTAGACTTCTCACTGATCTGAAGAATAATAACAAATTCCACTTTCATCCAAAGTGCAAGAAACTAGGCATTACTCATTTGAGTTTTGCGGATGACTTATTACTGTTTGCTAGGGGGATAATCAATCTGTGGCAATGTTAAAGCAGTATTTTGATCAGTTCTCCACAGCATCTGGGTTAAAAGCTAATCTAAACAAGAGTTCAGTTTATTTTGGTGGAGTGTGCAATGTAGATCAAGAACTTATACTTCAGCAACTAGGGTATGTGCAAGGTGAACTACTATTTAGGTACTTGGTAGTCCCTCTTACTACCAAAAAGATGAGAGTGACACAATGGCAAACACTGATTTACAAAATAGTAGCTAAAATATCATCCTGGACTGCAAGAAGTTGTCATATGCTGGTAGAGTCCAACTTATTAGAACTGTACTGTTTGGAGTGCAATCTTATTGGTCTTAAATATTCCTGATACCCTCCAAGGTGATCAAGCTCATTGAAGCATATTGTAGAAGCTTCATGTGGTCAAGAACTAATGTCATTACCAAGCGAGCATTAATATCCTGGGAGAGAGTCTATCAACCCAAGAGTGCTGGAGGGCTAAACATCCTGAACCTCAAAAGCTGGAACAAAGCATCCATTCTCAAATTACAATGGGATTTAGCAACAAAGGCAGACAGATTATGGATCAAATGGGTTCATATGTACTATATAAAAGGGTACCCTTTAGCTAATATCAATGTGCCTAAGCAAGCGAATTGGATGGTTCAAAAGATCATGACTGTTGCTTGACCAAACTCACAGCTGCAAGGAGATAAAAGCAAATGCAGTGTAATCAAACAGTTGTACTTGCAACAGCTTGGATCATTAGCTAAAGTCGAGTGGAAAGCAATCATGTTCAAGAATCTAGCTAGAGCTAAAGCAATTGGTTGATCATACAAGGAAGAATGATGACAACTGACAGGCTGATCAAGTGGAACATTAATGTGGATCCAATGTGTGTATTTTGTGGAATTCATCCAGAGACTCATGCCCATCTATTCTGCGAATGTACTGTTACTACTGGATTATGGGCAAAAATTTTCAATTGGTTACATATACAGATGCAAATAAAGACGTGGGATCAGCTAGTATCCTGGTTTGTGGAGAAAGCAAAGAAGAAATCTGTTGAAGGGCAGCTATTGCGACTGGTATTAGCTGAAACTCTGTATAGTATATGGACAGAAAGAAATCATAGAGTATTTGATAAGGTACATAGAGATAGTAAGAGCATCATTATAGAGATAGCATACATTTTGTAATATACGGGCTGTAGGCAAGCTCAAAGAAGTTATGTAGCACAAACTTCTATAGGGGTATAAGAGCAACTGTATAGAGACAAGGTAAAATAGCCCGTTGAGGATAGGAGTTCAGGATAGAGTTGTGTATAGGCCGAGCTGGCCACTATATGATGTAATTTGCTTCTCTGGTGATTAATAATATTGTGAATTACCAAAAAAAAATTATACAAATTTTATACACTTTTTCGGCTAGCAGATGTTAATAGTTTCTGGCACGAGCTAAAAGTGATAACACCCCTATTTTTTTTTGACTTTTTCTAAAGATTAATAATGAAGATCTAACAATACCCATTGTTTAAGAGAAAAAGGTAAAGTTCAAGTGAGAACTAATTTTCAATCTAATTATTCTAATTTATTAGTGTATTTTAACTTCTTGTAGGAGGCTACTTGCTTTGTTCGAAGTCACTAATCTTGTCCCTGTTTGACCGCCTCTAGAGGATGTAATTGTAAATAGGTTAGTCTTATTTAGTTATTGGCTCCATTTGTTTTAAATAATTACTTGTAATTATCTTTTAAATGACATGAGTGTCCTGGTCAGGGAAGAAACAAAATAAATTTTATTTACCTAAATATAAGTAACAATTTGCGAATGTGTAGATATCTGTCATCGTCTTGTACCTATAACATATCCTCTAATTATTTTTTCTTTAATATTTTTTTTCCAAGTAAGACACTTTCTTTACATCTCAATCCAATTCCAATATAGCCCAATATACTCATTAGAGCATATCAAAAGTAGGGGGGAAGTGCACGGTTAGCCACCAATAACACATGTATTTACTTTTAAGCCACTGTTTAAAATGTCTTTAGTCTTTATCCACTGCTTTAATAAACTTTAACTGTCCGGACGAAAATACCCTTCTGCTCATGTCCTTAACTTTTGAACTTAACTTCAGGACTACATGTCCTTAACTTTTGAACTTGGAACTTTAAGTTCAGGACTTCAGGACTACATGTCCTTAACTTTTGAACTTAACTTCAGGACTTCAGGACTACATGTCCTTAACTTTTGAACTTGTACCTGTAAGTTCAGGACCAAGTGTCCTTAACTTTTGAGCTTGTTAGTCTAAGTTCAGGACCTATTGTCCTTAACTTTTGGGCTTCTTAGCCTAAGTTCAGGACATATTATCCTTAACTTTTGAGCTTGTTAGTCTAAGTTCAGGACTTCAGGACCTATTGTCCTTAACTTTTGAACTTGTAACTGTAAGTTCAGGACCTATTGTCCTTAACTTTTGGGCTTCTTAACCTAAGTTCAGGACCTATTGTCCTTAACTTTTGAGCTTGTTATTCAAAGTTCAGGACTTCAGGACCTATTGTCCTTAACTTTTGAACTTAACTTCAGGACTACATGTCCTTAACTTTTGAACTTGGAACTCTAAGTTCAGGACGCCACTTCTCCCCCTCCGCCATCAAACTTGTATGCATACTCTTCTCTAGTGAAATCGAAGTTGTAAGTTTCCTCTAAGATTCCTTCTCTCTTATGGAAAGGAAATTGAACAAATTCCTATTTATGTTGCCATATCTTAATCGAGTTTCTTTTAATTTCTACTTAAATATGTTCTCCTTTGTGAAGATGATTTAATATGGAATGTGTTTTTCTATAAGTAAATTTACTCCTCCTTCCAAATTAATTGTCTTACTTTTATTGTGAACTGGCCCAAATGCTTCATTCACAATTCAATACTTGTTTCAGTGTTTTGGTTTTTGGAAATAGAGAATAACTTTTGTTTTGAGAAACTAATTCTGTGTTTACAGCGGAGAAGACAAAACTGGTATGCAGATTATATGTTTGAGTGAATGCTTAACTGAATTTGTAGTAAAATTGGTGTTTAAGAGAAGAGAAATTAGGAGCGAGTGTTACTGAGAGAAAAAAATGCACAGAAGAGATTGAGAGAGAAGCACACATAGCCAGCCACTTCTGTACAGAGAGAAGCGAGGGTTTAGGAAGAAAAGAGATGGAAGAAAGGGTAAAAATGTCTTTTCAAAATAATTTTAATAGAGTAGTGGCTATTTTTGCTTAGCATTAGAATTGGTGGATATAAAATAAACACCACCTTATTTAGTGGCTACCACACGCCCTTTTTACTCAAAAGTATGTGATTAATTTTTTAATATAATTTATTCGAATGGGATAACGCCCTTGTCAAAAATGATAAAAAGCATTATGAAAACAAAAATAGAAAATGAGAAAAGTATCAAGAGAATGTTATAGATTATTGCAGCAAACAGTTCCACAATTTTCAAACAAAAATAATGGGGTAGGGATGGCAAAAAGTAAAGAGAATATAGCTGTTTTTTCACACCAATAAAATATTTTAGTCAACTCTTAGAACTTATAAAGTTATAATAACTTAATATATTTTCTAAAACAAAAGGTTATTTACATGAAAGGCTATACATGAAGTAAATTAAATAAGATATTTAGTAGGTTCAAATCCGAGCGCGGCAAAAATATTATGATTTTTTCTTATTGTCTAAGTTTTTATGGACAGAGTTATTCGGTATTTTGTGCAAGTGGGAGATAATAATATCTATTGGAATTAATCGAGGTGCACAAAGTTGACCCGAACATCACTGTTATAGAAAAAAATTAGAGTGTATGCGAATATCCACCACTTGTTATTGTCACGACCCAATTCCCATACCCGATCGTGATGGCGCCTCTCGTGAAGACAAGGCCAGCCAACTAACCCAATCCTTTCACTAACAATTATTAAACATAAATGAATAGAAGATACAACTTAATAGCATTAGAAACTGTTAATTACTACCCGACCGGGGTGTCACAAGTCACGAGCATCTAAAGGAACCTGATTTAACTACAGGGCCAATATTATACAAAAATGAATTTCTGGAAAAACAAAAGACAACATCCGGTGCCGCGAACGCTGGCGGTCACCTCGCTCAGCTACAATAACAATACCTTCAATCCGCTAATAACCCGCTACCGGGTGAACGATACCTGCAACTGCACGTGAGGTGCAGGGAGTAAAGTGAGTACTTGCAACTCAGTGGTAATAAGAGTAAATAATAACTGAGAGACAAGAAATCACGTAAGAGCACTCCATCATGCTATATAGGACAGTACAACCCTTGAGAAAACAGTAAAAATCGTGAAAAATCCTTTAGAAAATATCTGGCTCAGTTTAAAAACCTCTTTTGAAAATATCCTTTTCCAACAGTCAAGCAAACGAATGCGTAATCAGATAGTGCAAGTCCGCACATAAGTCAGCCCCTCGGCCACAGCACTCCACTAACAATTAACACCAGGGCGTCTAGTAAACAGTGCAAGAAGTAGCTTGAATGCCATTGAAATGAGAGTGCTGAATGTCATGACACGTATTACAAACAGGAACCAATGCATGAATGCAATGCAATGCATATGACCGCTGCGGCGCGCAGCCCGATCCATTTGGGTACCCGCGCTCACTATGGGGGTTCAGACTCCGAAGGGGCTCCTACAGCCCAAGCGCAATATCATCATAGCATCGCTGCGGCGTGCATCCCGATCCATCCTCAGTCCAGAACATGCAAATGAGCCACTCAGGCAATGTCAAGTTATAGCTTTTAACTCAAAACATCAGAAAAATGCAATTTAAGTCTTTAAACTTTAGCAATATGACTGCACATTTCAAAACAGGGTTTAACTCAGGACTGAAATCATTTAATATGCTAAGTGTCATGAAAACAGTGATAATAATCCCTAAAGGATTCAAATAATCGGCACGAAGCCCAAAACATGGCAATCAACCCAAATCACGATAGCATCAAGTAGGTTTCAGTCAATTACGCAGTAAAATCAACAACCGGGACGGACCAAGTCACAATCCCCAACGGTGCTCTACCCCACGCTCATACCTGGCGTGCAAGTCACCACAATACAGAACTATGATGTGCAAATCCGGGGTTTCAAACCCTCAGGATATCATTTACAAGTATTACTCACTTCGAACCGGTGAAATCCCTAGCTCGCGACGCCTTTGCCCCTCGAATCGGCCTCCACGCGCGTCGAATCTAACCAAAATCAGAGCGAATACATCACAACATGCTAAGGGAACAATACCCAATCGAAAACAATCGAAAATTAGCAAGAACCTCGAAACTAGCAAAACCCGAGCCCCGGGCCCGCTTCTCGAAAAATTACGAAATTTACATTACCGGATTCCTCGTCTCGCCACGAGTCCATACATATAAAATTCACCAAAACCGGAGTTCGTTTGACCCTCCAAATTCCATTTTTACATCCTAATTTCTCAAACCCTAACTTACCCCATTTTTACCCTTTAATTCCTTGGGTTTTCAGTGTTAATTCATGTTTATACACAATAACAACATAATCTAAGCCCAAGAATCCATACCTGATGATAGCCCTCGAAACCCTCTTCGAAAAACGCCCAAAATCTCCTTAGTCCAAAGTCCAAAATGTTGTTCTTTCAAAAATTCGCGAAGATGATTAATTTCACTTAACTGCCATGCATTTCGCTTCTGCAGATCCAGTACCGCTTTTGCGGCTTCCGCTTATGCGGTCAACGTCCGCTTTTGCGGACCTTTCACTTAAGGCAACCTTCCGCTTCTGCGGTCCCCAATCGTATCTGCGGGACCGCTTAAGCGATCCAATGCTCTGCTTCTGCGGGACCTGACCAGGGTTCCGAATTCCGCTCCTGCGAGGTCTAGCTCGCTTCTGCGAGGCCGCCTATGCGGTCCTCCTTCCGCTACTGCGGAATCTGGAAAGGGCCAAGACTTCCGCTTCTGCGCATCTTCCAATCGCTTCAGCGAGACCGCACCTGCGGTCCCATAACCGCAGGTGCGAAACCAACAGATACCAGCAAGGTTGAACCTGCAATTAACTCCAAAAACCTTCCGTTTAACCACCCGAATTCACCCCGAGGCCCCCGGGACCTCAACCAAAAACACTAACACATCCTAATACCTTATTCAAACTTGTTCCAATCCTCAAACACTTCAAACAACGCTAAAGCCATCAAATCACATCGGATTCAAGCCTAAGTTTCTTAAAAACTTCCGAATTACGCATTCGATCAAAAACCCGACCAAAACACCTCCGAATGACCTGAAATTTTGCACACATATCCAAAATCGCCTAACGAAGCTACAGCAACTCTCGAAATTCCATTCCGACCCTCGGATCAAAATCTCACCTATCAACTGGAATTCGCCAAAATACTAACTTCGCCAATTCAAGCCTAATTCTACACCGGACCTCCAAAATAAATTCCGATCGCACCCCTAAGTCACAAATCATTTCCCGAAGCTAACCGAATCACCGGAAATCACATCCGAGCCTTCTAACTCATAAGTCAACGTCCGGTTGACTTTTCCAACTTAAGCCTTCTTAAAAGAGACTAAGTGTCTCATTTCTTATCAAAACCAATCCGAATCAACTCTAACTCACCACATACCGGTAATGAAACATGAAGAAGTAATAAATGAGGAAAACGGGGCAGTAATACCTGATACGATGGGTCGGGTCGTCACAGTTATACATTTTTTCGATTATTTTTTTAAAGCGATTGTACAGTGTCATTTTTCCTAATGATAATCCATCAATATCGCTTAAATTAGATATATACGTATGGTGTTTGTAGCTGTATTATCCCCTTTTCATATCACAAATAAATATATTATTTGTTTTTCGGTAATGTATTTAATTTGGTTAAGCAGCCTTAGACCAGACATTGAGTAGGTAGTAGGAGATGAACCTTTAGTTTATTGATTGTTTAATTTTTTGGTGATTATTAACCAAGAAAAGAAATTTAGGATTTGGTTTCTGCCTAAAAGTAGATAACATACAGGTTGGCCAATCATATTTGGAATAAGTGCACTCACGTCTGATTTTATTTATCTGATTTTTTAATACATTGTTATCACCAATCGAACTGAATTAGGTTTAACAAAAAGTAGTTCTTTCTCTTTTGGTATAAATAAAGGAATATAATTGTTGTACAAATTCCAACGGGGTTGGAAAATTTCGTCCTGGGTTGTTTATAATGCTAAAAATTATGGTTTTCCAGCAGAAATAGCTTTTAAGCCAAGACATAATAAGTTGGAGTTGTCCAACTTATTACTTTTGGCTTATTTTAAGCAGTTTTTAACTTATTTTAAACACTTTTTAACTTTGCCAAACATTAAAAAAAAACTTTAAAAAACTTAAAAGCTGATTTAACCAGCTTAAATGCCAATCCAAACACCTTCTTAATCGAATTTCAATTTCAATAGGCTTGTATATTCTTGGTATATGCAATTGTGATGTCAAAAGACAAAAAGAAAATCCAAGTCTTGAGTTAATCAAGCCAGTCAGCACATATATAAAGATCGTTATTAGAAATAAAGGGCAGGCCGGTGCACGCAGGGTCCGGGGAAAGGCCGCACTCAAGGGGTGTGATGCAGACAGTCTACCTTAATACAAGTATTAGTGGCTGCTTCCACGGCTCGAACCCGTTATTAGAAAGCACAATGCAAATTAAATCTATTTCCACGACGAGAAGATGATTACAAGCATTGATAACTTAGAGTCTGTTTGGAAAACCATCTTGTAATTGGAATTGGTGTAATTACTAGGGTAGTAATTACACAGTTGTGTAATTACGATAGCTTGTTTGTTTGTCATAGTGTAATTACAGTGTAATTACAAGTTTACTGTTTGGTTGCACAAGTGTAATTACATAGTTAGATTAAATTTTAAATTAAATAATTATCAAAACTAAAAATTAGTATAATAAATATATACCTATAAGATTTTATAAGTATAAATGATAATATTTTTGGTATTTAAGATGTATATTTTTTCGTGAATATACATTAATTAATAATCATATATTTATAACTAATATTTTTAAAATAATTTATATATATATTTTAAATTAATAATATTTAGTTTAAATACTTACAAAAACTAAAAAAAATATACGCATTGTAAGAATATCATGGAATTCATGTTTGATAAAATAAATTAATATTTATAAATATAGTGTCATAACATTATTCAAATGTTTGACAAAACTAATCTACCAATTCTAACTAAAAAATGAACAACATGCAATGTGATTCAATACTACAAAACAAATAAATTGGAACCATGAATATAAAAAAATTAAATAGTTTAACTTGTGTCAAATTCCAACATAATAATAGTAAGTCCCACTGCAACTTAAGATAGGAAACATGATAAGTTTATAACCACGTTTAACAACAAAGTTCCACTTTAATTGCATCACTCATTATATGACAAGTTTATTAATGACTCATTATTTCTAATATTAGCAGGGGTAGTTTCAAAAAATAGAATAATAAAATAAATAAAAATAAAATACAAGCAATTACATGGAATCACAAGAAGTAAAGATAGAGAAATAAAAGATAAATAATGTTCAAAGAAAATATATTTTAAAATTTCAAAAGAAATTAAAAAGTAAAAATAAAATTAAAAAATAAAAATAATAAAAATAAAAAGTTATAAAGAAAATAAATTAAAATAAAAACAAAAAGGAAAGAAACTAAAAAGCAACCTTGTAATTACATAGTGTAATTACCACCAATTCTCACCTCACCCTTGAGAATTGGAGAGTGTAATTACACCCCTCCAATTACCCCCAATTCCATGCTGACCAAGTAATTACTTGGCCAAACAAACATGCCAAACTATGTAATTACACCCAATTACACCCAAATCCAATTCCAAGGTGGCTTTCCAAACATGCTCTTATAAATTACCTTTCCTAGTTACAACATAGAAAAAGGTGTTGGTTACTGAGGAAATATCACAATATTGTACAAGTAAACATGGTCTAGTCTTGAGATTTTTCTTCTTCCTTCCTCTCAATCAATTTGACAAAATTACGAACTATTGTCTTGCCTTCAGTTGTGATGATGCTTTCAGGATGGAATTGCACCCCCTATATTAAACAAGCAAGACGAAAACAATCGACCAAATTTAAACATACACGTTACTTCCTTTATTAATTCACATCACCATATAACATTTTCAAAATGTAAAGACTCTTCACCAAGTCAAATAGATAGCATAGAGCAACAAATCCATAGCAGAATGATAACAGCTCTAATTTGTTCATAAAGGATGAAATTTTTACCTGTAGATGTCGATAAACTTTGTGACGAGCAGCCATAATAAGACCATCTTCTGTCCATGCAGTTATCTCAAGAGCGTCTTTGGGGAAAGTATCCTTGTCTATTACAAGACTGTGGTATCTACCAGCTGTGAATGGGCTGAAATGAGATAGGTAATATCAAGATTTCAGCATAAATCAGACAAAGTTCCACTTATTTTAAGATAATATAAGTGGCACTGATATTACAAGGATTTGTTTGACTGACATAAGGTAGAATTTAAGTTAACCTCAACCAATTAAGTGGGTGGACAGGAAAAATGCGCGATAGAGAAATTCTGTAAAAATGCTTGATATGTAAGATAAGATCCCACAAATCAAAACTAGAGCTCATCGGAAGGCTTGTTGGAAAACACCAGAATATCGAACCATGAACGAAGAAAGGCACGAGAGAAAAGCATATTGGCTAGTGATTGTGAGGCCCCAATTCTTGACTGGACAGGACACCAAAGGCCTCTGCCCTTCAATTGTTTGGATACATAGAGAGGGAAGGCAGAGCTTTTGGTTTTTTCATGAAGAGATGAAGTCAAGATAGAAGTTTCCAAAAGAGGTAGTTTGACATAGTAGAGTTCAATCCTGAGTCTTGAAGTATCTGCAAAGTTCTCTCTTTGCTTGAGTTGTATAGGTAAAGAATAAAAATTATATTTGAATGTGTTGGCACACAAAGTGATAACAAAGCGACAAAACAACTGGTATGCTAAAATACGAAGAAAGCAAAATTTGTCTTGCTGCAAAAGTTTTTCCTTTAATGTAAGATAGGGGACAGACAATGACAGCCATTTGAGAGACAGATTAAAGACCACCTTATAAACAATCAGGAAATCTTCTTTGTCCCTCCACTACCTGCGTATTTGTTATTCACTCACCCTTTCCATTACCAAAATGTTTCAAGAAAGAAAGTCAGAGTGAAAAAGAAAGGATGACAAGAGAGTGATTCTACTGTCCGGAGAAATGCATTATTGGTCTCTTGGGTGAAATGCACAGACAAGCATGAAGAAATATGACGGTGTTACTCCACAGAAAAGGACTCCACCACTGAGTTCTCCCAAAGTATATATGGATAAGACAGTGTATTCTTAAAGAGGTTTTCTGGAGTTGAGTCAAAGAGAGATCACTATGAACTTAAGGCAGTCAAATTTGTTGAAGATATAGTGGGTTTCTTGAAGGTAGCAAATCGTGAAATGGAAAAAACAACTCAGCCACAAAAGGACAGACAGCACAGAGGTTGAAGTTACTGCGACTGTACATGGTAATGAAGAGGAGGAGACCATGTTAAAAAGCTGCGAGTAAAGTTACTAGTTCCAAGGAAGTGGATGAGGAAGAAGTTGAAGGTTCTGAAGAGCAGCTGCAGAGGGTTCAAGCTCTTGTTAAGAAGGATCCTGATCAAGAGAACCAGAGACCATCAACCTTGAAGCATTGGTTGATGAGATTTCAAGTATTGCGCAGTTTGCTCATTCAAGCAACAAAGTTGAGCAAGCAGAAGCTAACTACAAGGTTGAGCAGGTCAAGAGAATCTCACAGGAAAGCAACAACAACAACACACCCAGTGGAATCCCACAAGTGGAATCTGGGGAGGGTAGTATGTACGCAGATCTTACCCCTACCTCGTAGAGGTAGAGAGGCTGTTTCTGAAGAATCTCACAGGAAGGCATTGAAGAAGAATTAACGGAGACAGAAATAAAAGGAGCTGAAGAAAGTAACTGGAGTTTGGAAAATTGTGACACAGACTTTGAAACCAGCAGCTTTGACATTGAAATAGAGTCAGAGGAATAAGTCAAGGAAATTGGACCGAATAACGCAATTATCATTTAAGTTTTTGCAGCTTTAGTACTTTTGTGGTTATCATCTATGTTTCAAGAGAACAAAGAGGTTATATTGAATCTCCTCCGGTGGGCACACTTCCCATTATTGCTAGTGTTGAAGGAGAACTCTTAGAGAGGCAAACCGAAACTTATGAGGTTTCATCTTCACACGAATCATTGGATGGTCGATCAGAAAAGTTTAGCAAAAGTATTTCCAATTCCACCTGAAGAATTTTAGACTTGAGACACTCAGGCCACTACTGCACCATGTTCAAGTAGAGCACCTTAAGATAACACCTGCTATTGGATCCATTGCACAAGCTTGATTGTTGCTGGTCCAAAGAAAGAAGCACCGAATCCAAAGGCAAAAGATCACAAGCCCATTCTGCTTTACCACTTGCTCAGCCAATCATTCTGGAACAGATTCTCTATTGTATGGAAGCTTTTCAGCTTAAAGGAAGGTCTCAAAGGAAATGCAGGGGAAGAAAGATGGACAAGAGGTCAAGAATGCGGTGTTAACAACCCCAAGTTAGGCAATCAAGTCGATTTCGAGGACGTTTGTTATGCCCCTTGAATATCTACTGTACAAGTTTTCATTGGTCTAGTGGAAACAGCATCTCGGTTGTTTCATAGTCTTTGGTCTTCTTCAGATCAAATTGCAGGGTGATGTAGCTCGTTATCAATTGCAAAGGAAACTAATTGTAACTTGTAGGAACTTATGATCTTAACTTTCAATGGAGAAATTCACTTATCTTGATTATAAAAAATAATCAGAAAGACCAAACTGCAATTTGTTATGACATTTGTCTAATCAATTATCAAATTAAGGAGAGCTTACTTTGATAGCCCAGCAAATAAGCCGTCTTCCCCACCTTCATTATAATACACAGGGGAGCTTTTCCCATGCATAACACCATATGGAGCACGAACAATTTTACCTGCAAAGGAACAAATTCACATGAAAGAGGATTAGGGAATAGGGAAGTGAAAAACACACAATTGACTACTTGAATAACAATAACGAAGAAAGTAGAGATAATACTCCGAGAAGATTGTTATACTCAAAACTTTAAATACTTTTTCAACCGTTCTTTTGAACTGTCACCAGTTCTCCTCAAAGCATTATAGTTTTCTACTAGTACGCTATGTTTCTCTGCTCTAACCAATCAGCAGAACAGAAAATTTAAGCTCCGAACAGTACTCATTTAGGACACTATAGGACTAATTTCAGTCTTATCAAAACAAATGACACTAACTTTGCAAATATGGTACATATCTAATAGTAATTTTTATGTATTACCGTTCTGTACAGCATATACAATTCGTGTGACTATAAACTTTCTTGGATCAAATGTTGGTGAAGATCGTGATTTCGATATTGGAAAGGGATAACGAACTCTTTTTTTTTTTTTTATAACGGTGGTGATCGGGCCAGCTTGTGCACATCTTGATCATTCCACCAGGTACCTGCTATCTCCCACCAGCACAAGTACGGGGTAACTCAACCCACCAAGGTATAGGCAAATAGGGAAGAAATCACCTAATGTTTTAAGGGCCTCTGTAAACCTAATTTTTTTTCTCTTTATCACAATAGAATAGAAACAAACTATCCATCAGATAGGCCAATTATTGAAACAACAAAAAAACTCCAAATAAATTCAATAACACACCTCCAAAAGCCTCTCCAATGCATTGCAAACCCATGCAAACACCAAATAACGGTACAGTTGGTCCAAGCTCCAGTACAGTTTGCAATGATATCCCTGAATCTTGAGGTGCACCTAATCCCAATAAAATTAGATCAGAAGTACCGATCTTTCCATAAGTTCCAGGAAAAGAAAAACAATAACTTGATATTTTTGGGTAAATTCTTCTTACCAGGTCCAGGCGATATTAGTATTCCCCTTGGATTTTTCCTGCAAAAAATAAAGCAAAACCACATGGTATCAACTCAATTGATTTCAAGGAGTAAAAACGCTCATTCTTTGCCAGGTCTGAAGAAAAACATAAAATCCTCTTAAAATTTTGGTAGACCACCTGATTCTCTTTTCAATTAAACGTACTTCCTAGTCCTTTTCTCATTATAATTTACCAATTTCAAATAAGCATCTTGTTGCCAAAGCAGTTCCCCTGTAGATCAGGGGGACGGGGAACCTGATGAAATAAGCCAGAAATAATTAATCATTTGACTGAAGAAACCTATACTGCATATGCATCTCATTCAGAGAAACTTAGCAATTCAATTTTCTTTTTGTCTTCTTATCTATCCTGTTAATCATGCGCACACAAGTATGTACCCACAAAATTCTAGCTCAAATGCATTGATAATTATGCAGTTATCATTCAGACCTACAATTTCCAATACGCCAAATGTGAAGCTCAAAATTTCAATTCTGCGACTAACTCTGTCTCTGCCATTACATTTATATAATTTGGATGTGATCATGGAAGTGGATCCAGAACAGACAAAGACCAATCAAAATTAGATAATGCAGATGCAGCCTTAATCTAACAATTAACTAGTTAAGGTAGAACCGCTGAAACCAAAGGTCCCAAATTTGAATTTAATGGATTTAAGCCTTACTTAAAGGTTGGTGAGCCCCATACCAGCATTGCAAGTTAACTTCCACTTGGTAAAGTGTAAATATTGTAACTATACTACAACAGCTTGACCAAAACCGGAAAAAGAAAAAAAAGCAGTAGTAACTTTGTGTATTACTTTTTCAGTTCGTCCACGGTAAGCTCGTCGTTTCGATAAACCTCGAAATTGCATCCAAGCTCTCCCATATACTTCAAAAAAAAAACAAGTTAATAAACACCAAAATAATAATTAGCCTCAGTATTCCAAAATCAATATAAAGCTACAATTATAATATACTTCAAAATTAGCAACAATAAAGAGAAAGGCAAAATTAAGAAAACTAAGATAATACTTAACTCTTTTCTTTACTTTTTAAACTAAGATAATAACTCAACATATTTCAATGTTCTAAGATCAGTTCAAACAAAAGATCAGTTTATTCTCAAGCTTCAAATACTTCGAAATTAAGATAAACTAAGTTAAAAAGTCTGTACATTTCTCAATTTTCAAATATCAATTCTTTTCTCAAGCTTCATTATAGCTTAAATTTAAAATTACACGAATAAAGCATAATCATTCATTCATATTCAAAAATAAATTCTCGATTCAAATTTGAAAAAGTTCAACATTACCTGACAAAGATTATAAGTGAAGCTATCGTAATTATCAATAACAATAATTGGACTCTTAGTCCGTTTATTAGTATCCGATAATTCAACACAAGTAGCGGAACTATTCTGCGATATAGCAAACGCCGTCCTTTTGAGCAATTTTTCACTTCTGATTCTGAGAGCAGAGCCTCCGGAGCTGGAGAGAATTGGAAAAGCTAGAGTCTTTTGGTGAGGATGAGGTGAGAGAGATGTGTTTTTGGCGTTGATTTGAATGACGGAAGATTGTGAAGAGGAAGGAGGGACGATAATGCTGGCCATGAGAGATTGTTGAGATGCGTAAAACGTTGTCGTTTGAGGCTGTGACCTGACGCCGGAGATATACAGCGGCGGCGGCGGCGGCGGTGGAGGTGAAAGGATAGAAGACAATTGTGTTTATTAGCGGCAGGTGTTTTATTAATAATCGAAAAGGTCAAAATTACCACTATGGTAAAAAATACCATGTCATAGACAATAATATGGGGGTTTTGACACAGTTACCCACAAAAACAAAATTATTTACCTTTGTCTACCCATTTGTATTTCTACCCATAAACTAATTATATTTCCTACCCATAGTAGGTTTTGTGGGGATTTTTCTCTTTATTCTCCAATTTTTTTTTTTATTTTTATGCTTCTTTTCTTTTCTTTTTTTTTTCTCCTTTTCTTTTTTCTCGTTTTCTACTTATTTTTTTCTTTTTCCTATTCTAATTTCATTTAACTTCTTTTTTTTATATTCCTTTTCTCTTCATAGATCATATACTATTTTCCACTATTTTTTATTATTCTTTTTTTTTATATATATTATTACTAGAGAAAAATCAAATTGTGTACCAATTAAATGTAGCTAATACAACCAAAAAAATATTAACTAACATTTGATACCAGTATAATATATAGTTATACCAACAGGGTATACAATTGTACGTAAAGAGTTAAAAAAAAGTTTAATTCAATTATTAAACTAAAATAATATCAATTGTCAATAAAAAAATTAAAAATTCTAAAAGGATCTAATTGTAAGAGTATACCGTTACATTATATAGCATACTATAATTTTATTTTATTTTTGCATTTCACTTTGCTGCTCACGCTAGGTAAAAGCTTAAAACAAATTAAAAGGGAAAAGGCAAGTGAATTTACGGGTAATAAGTATACTATTATAGTATATTGTATACTTTTACAGCATATTGTTACAATATCTTGCATATTATTACAGTATACCATAACAATATATTTGTATACTATAATGGTATACTGTTGTAGTATAACTATATACTCCTATAGTATATTAGTATACTGTAGCGGTATACTATTAGGTAACAGTGTTTTTCTTCGATTATTACTATAGTTGTGTTCTTCTTTGATTTTCAACTAAAAATTTCGATCTCAATCACCTCAAATCAGCTCTAAGTCACGACCAAACTGACTCAACATTTAGTTACAGTTGCCAATCGATATTTTAATCATGCCAATCAAAATCTAATCAAACAATTACAAACTCGACAAATGCAATTTATGATTTTCAAGTTTCAAGGTCTTCCAATGGTTGATCTAATTTTTCTTACAATAAATCACTATGAACTTCTCAAAAGATATTAGAAATAATTATTTGTAACACTGCACGTACAAAATAGTTATTTTGCTTATCATTAAACCATATCAAATTTCACTCATTAAAATCACAATAAAAAACTGTGCAGTGACTCGAACAAACACAAACACTACGAGAAAATATGAGATATGTAAGACGGAGATAGTATTTTGTTGCTGGAAAAAGAAACAGGAAGAAGGGAAAGGGGAAAGGGAAGCTTTAAGGAGGAGAGAGGTTGGTAAGGCAATTGAGAAATGGGTGGACGAGTAATAATTTTGGTTGGCTTAGGTAGGTATAGTAATTACTATTAAAATGGGTAAAACCGGATATTGTTTTGGGTTTAGTGGGTAGTTAGTGTAGTTTCCTCAATAATATGTATATACTAGTCTTCGTGCGTTGCGCGCATCTGGCGTTAATGAAAATAAATTTTTAAAAATAACATAAAAATATTTAAAAAAATATATTTGCATTATAATATAAAAACTAATAAAAATTTGCAACTTTTAAAATGATAAATTTAATCATACTTAGAAGTTTGATCTACTCTAGTGATTTTTCTTTTGGCTTGTTCTTGTACTTGCTTCGTTGTACAAAAAATAAAAATGGACAAAAAATTGGAGTACACTTCCAATTCTAGTTCTTTCTATTGTTCAAATGAAAAAGAGCGTCCTAATTACTCTTTAAAGTCTAAAATATTGCCTACCCCTACCTTAAATATGAATAATCATTGACTCTTCCATATATATATTTTTATCAAAATTGTGTTTTTCATACATTTTTTTAACGTACTCTTTATTAGCATAAAAACTGCTGGATAAGTTAGTTACTTTAATTTTATTAATTTATTCCTTTTTCACAGACTATACATCCATGAAAAGTAACATATAAGAAATATTATTATGTTACATATATATACCTCAAATAAAGAAAAAAAGTTTATGTAAGGTAGAATTTTAATTGACTTTAAATTCTTAAATTTTAGGACTTCTTACCTAGTTCAAATAAGTAAATATTTAATAATCAAAATTTTAATCGATTTTAAAGTACTAAATATTAGGATAATATTAAATGACTATTTTGTCTTGTAACGACCCGACCGGTCGTTTTGAGCCCTAGCGCGCCGTTCAGCAGTTCGAGGCCATGAGCAGCTTCAATTCAGGCATTATGACTTGTACGCGTGGTCGGAATTAAATTTCGGGAAGTTCGGAGTTGACTTGGAGAGGAAATTCTCATTTCAGAAGTTTTAAGTTGAAAGAATTAGCTAAGATCGGATTTTTGAGTAAACGACCTCGGAATCAGGATACGAAGGTTCCAGCAGGTTCGTATGATGATTTCGGACTTGGGCGTATGTCCGGGTCGGGTTTTGAATGATCCGGGAGCATTTTTTTGGCGCCTATTGTGGAAGTTAGCATTTTGGAAGAAATTTTATAAGTTTGGGTTGAAGTGCATTTCAGTGTTATCGATGTCCGTTTGGGATTCCGAGTCAGGGAGTAGCTCCGTATGGTGATTCTGGAGTTGGGAGCGCGATCTGAAGTGAATTCGGAGGTCTGTGGGTCATTTTGGAGTCATTTGGCTAAAGATAGAAATTTGAAGGTTTTTGAGAAGTTTGACCATAAGTGGACTTTTTGATATCGGGGTCGGAATCCGATTCCGGAAGTTGGAATAGGTCTGTAATATCGAATATGACTTGGTTGCAAAATTTGAAGTCAATCGGACATGATTTGATAGGTTTAAACATCGAAAGTAGAAGTTTGAAATTCTAAAGTTCATAAAGCTTGAATTGGAGGTCGATTCGTGGTTTTAGCGTTGTTTGATGTGATTTGAGGCCTCGAGCAAGTCCGTAATGTGTTTTGGGACTGGTTGGTATGATTGGTTGGGGTCCGGGGGGCCTCGGGTGGATTCCGGGTGGTTAACGGATCGAAAATAGAATTTTGAGAAGTGCTGAAGTTGCTGCTTCTGTCATAACCGCACCTGCGGTTGGTGGACCGCAGGTGCGAGACCGCAGAAGCGGTCCATCTACCGCAGAAGCGGCCCAAGGCCAGGCAGCCCAAGATCGTAGATGCGGCCCTATATTCGCAGAAGCGGTGGGCCTGTCCGCAGAAGCGGTCTTCTTTCCGCAGAAGCGCTAATCGCAGGTGCGGCCCAGGACCGCACATGCGGAAATCGCAGGAGGCAGTGGCCTTCATTTATTCGGGCTCTAGGCCATTTTTGTTCATTTTCACTCATTTCTTGGGCGATTTTGGAGCTCTTGGAGGGGTGATTCTGCCTAGCATTTGTGAGGTAAGTTATTTCTAGTTAATGTGAGCTTTAATACTTGAGTTTTGGGTAGATTAACACATAAAAATTTGTGAAAATCATGGGGATAGAGTAAAACCTAGGGTTTTGTTAAAAACAAGGTTCAACCATGAAATTTGTTGTAGAATGAAGTAGAAATCGTATATTCTTGATTCTTAGATTATAAAGAACAACTTCCTTCGAAAAATTTAGGAATCCGGGCACGTGGGCCCGGGGTCAGATCTTAGGAAAATGTGTTTAAGGGTGGAAAATTACTTAAATAGCTAGAATATGATCTTGTAAGCTTATATTGACTAGTTCCTACCTCGTTTATCTAGTTTTGAATCGTTCGGCTCCAATTTGAGTGTTCGGGCTCATTCTTGATATTGGAAGTGCACACTGGAGCGAGGTGAGTCTCCTTTCTAATCTTGTAAGAGGGAATTGTCCCCATAGGTGAATTAATTGGTTATGTGCTCCTATTTGTGGGGGGTTACGTACGCACGAGGTGACGAGAGTCTGTGCGTAGCTACTATTATGTTATTATCCGGGTAGTCTAGGACCCAAAAGCATGCGGTACGTGGAATAATAGTAATGTTATTGACAGTTTGAATTGCTTAAATCCTATCGAATTGGTAAATGAATTTCTAAGAAGATTAAACTTCATTTTCTTGAATTGTTAAAAGAGAATTTGGCTTTTTCCTTGGATAATTATTCCCTGATAAATTCATGATTGACTGATTGTCGTGCTTATTTATATTTGACCGCGTTGCATGTATGATTCGCGAGCGGGGTAATAGATGCATCTATGGTTCGGGCCGCTCGACCCTCTGCAGTGCATATTTTACATTTATGTTGGATCGGGCCGTACGACCTCGGCATGAGTTGCGCATGTTTGTATTGCTTGCCTTGAGATTTATTGATATTGCTATCTGCTCTCCCGACTTGAGATAGTTGTTAATTAATGGATTATGAATCCGGAGACTTCAAATAAAAAGGAACTTTCACCTGTTTTGTGACTCATTTGAACCTACTGTTGTTCTTAATAAATCTATGAGTTATCGCATTGATAATACTATTACTGGACCTTTAGTAAGTGTTGAAGTTGCCATCTCGTCTCTACTTCTTCGAGATTAGGCGGGATACTTACTGAGTACACGTTGTTTTCGTACTCATGCTACACTTGCTGTGCATTTTTGTTGCACAGGCACACGTACTTCTAGTGGCCTACTGGGCGTAGCAGCATGGATAATACTGGGACTAGGTGAGCTGCAGCACTTGAGGCGACCCACAGCTAGTATAGTCTCTTTCAGTGTATTGTATTTACTTTCTGTCCAATTTGTATTCCGGACGGATGTTGTATTGTATTATTTCTTAGAAATAGTTCATGCACTTGTGACACCGGGTTCTGGGGATGTCTATGGGTTTATTCAGAAATTTTAAAAAGTGGTTAAATGTTTCATTATTTATTCAGTGGAATTTATTACGTATTGTTTAAACGTATAAAACAAGTGGTTTCAGAAATATTTAAAACGAGAATTTAAATTAAGTATTT